ATTCCCTTCTCACAGAGCAGGAAACTGGGATCAGAGGGTGCTCACATTGTCTTATGTCCCTCCTGCTTCCTCCCTCAGAACACCTAGCCTGGACAATGGCTCCAGCACACCCCTGCACAGAACAGCACACTGAAGAGGCACAATAGTCTCAAGTCTCTCTCCTTCTGGAGACACACTCCTACAAATCCCGAAGCGGGGGTGAACCTACTGGGGTCTGGGATCCCTGAATCTGCCTTTCCACACTCAGGAAGATTCCAGTGCTCACCTCCAGGAATCCTTAAGGTCAGCTCAGTCCAAACACCAAGAATGCTCATTTTCCAGGACACCGCCTGGATCGCCATTGAAAACAGTCTTCATAAGGAACCCAGGTTTCTATGACGACAGCATAGCTTCCCCTGTTCAGTAACTGGGAATGGTTTTGCCCAGCCCTCCCTTCCTTTCTCTCAAAGCAAGAACTCTTCATCCTTTTATTACCGGAGAAAGCATATCCATTAGAGAAACTGCCACCAGCAGGAAAGCAGAGCTTTGATTTTTTTGTTTTGTGAACAAAACATATCCCTGGAAGCATGACCACATTCTACTCACCAGACTATTTTGGTCTCCAAGGAAATGTGGTCACATTGTTGTCACGGTGAGAGATGAGCAATTCCATCCAATAATTAGCTATGCATTTATAGCCTCAGGAAAGAAGTTAAAGTCTGGGGTACCTTCGGCAGGAACACCCTGCAAAAGAAAAAGAGAACACTGGAGATGCCGGGGCTCGAACCCGGGGCCTCATACATGCAAAGCATGTGCTCTACCGCTGAGCTACATCCCCAGGCTGCATAGCTCCCTGATAAAAGCATATATGAGCTAGACAGAGTACACCGACATAGCGTTTCCAAGAGTCTGCATCTGGTCCTTTGAGTATATTTCATGACTTCCAGTTTAGTGTTCAGAGGATTTTTATGACATTTAGTGGACAAGAAAATAATCTATATTCAATTAAAATAAATGAAAACAATAACAATAATAATATTAATAATAATAATAAGCCTTATGTTTTTTAAAACAAGGCAGCGTAACAATAAATAATACTTTGAATTATTCAGGACCATCTATTTTAATTCAACTTTATGTTGTAGTATTAGTTCAACTTGACATTATCATGTGGAATTAATATATGTCTTGCTGACTAGCAATATGCTATTCTATCTGAGAACATGGGTAGTTTCCTGAAACATTCCTTATTATACCTCTATTCTCTTTTAAAACATGCCTTAGCTTTCACAGCTTAAAAAGTATTTTTTTCTAATTTTGGACAGGCTGGTCATCTTGTTCCATAACTTTCCCACACACCATTTATCACTTCATTTATTCCAATAACTAAATTTGAGGGAACTATTTCTGTATAAAACCCTAATGTCCTGTTTCTTTCTGTACATTTATGTATCTCACTACATGCACTGTTAGCTTCTGAAATGAGAGGTTTGTTACATTGTGTCCCCCTTTTTCTCGGGTCATCTGGTGTATGTCTCAACACACAAAATCATTAAATGTTTTATATATGTTCAAGTGACTGAAAATGTAACAAATACAACCAGAGAAGATGCCAGATTGTAGACGACCATGTCTACAATTAAGGACACTGCTCAACCTCAATAATTATTGGAATACTACAAATACTGCCATCAAAATAAGACTTTACTATATAACTGCTAGATAAAGACAAGGAGTATTAACAAACAAGTAAAGGTAGCATAGAATGAGACAAACCTAAATAAAATGAAGACAAAAGCAAAAAGAGGGGAGGAGGGAAGGAGGGAAAAGTCAGATGAGGGGCAGGGGAGAAACAAAAACATTTCACTGCTGATCGTGGTCTAGCTTTGGGGCATTGGTGGATAAGTACTCATCCTCAAGTGACCTACTAGTAACAAAATGAGAGTCAGTATATCTCTGTCAACCATGATTCCTTTGTGTTATACTTCAGTCTGGGAATCTTCCTTCCATGATTTTTATTCACAATAGGTTTTTCTCCATAATATATCCTGATTAGAGTTTCCCTCCCCTCTACTCCTCCCTGTTCCACTCCACCTACCCTCCAATCCGGATCCACTCTGGTTCTGTTTCTCATTCCAAAATAACAGGCTTCTAGGAGATAACAGTAAAACACAACTGAATAAATTATAATAAGACGAAACACAACTATCAAGTACAAGTTGGACCAGGCAAACCAACAGGAGGAACAGAACTCACAAGGAGACACAAAAATCAGAGACCACTGGGTCATTCACTCAGGAAGTCTATAAAAATTTGAATAAAAGTCCCCCCAAAATATGGAAAGGTAGAATATATACACAGAGGACATGGTGAAGACCCATGGACCCAAAGTGCTTGCTACTTTACTCTCTGTGAGTTTCTGTGAGTGGATTTAGAAGGACTTGTACTCCAGATGGGAATCAATCTACCTCAAATTCCAGATATACCACTCTTGGGCATATGCCCCAAGCAAGCTTCATCCTTCCTTCAGGACACTTGCTTGGAGCACAAAGCTAATTAGTCTTAATAATACAAAGCCAGAGTCAGACATCAGGGTGAAAGCTGAGAGATCAGAGAAGCAATGGAGCAGCCACGGTCACCTCTTACCTCTCTGACTGCTCAGACCTAAAGGGGCCAAGCTCCTGTCTCCTCTCTGCCTCATCACTTTCTCATCTGCCTAGTCATAGCATTTCCTGTCTCCTCTCTGTACAGACCTCCAGACCTCTGTGGTTAACTAGTGGCTAGTTCCACCCTCAGATCTTCAGGCAAGCTTATTTATTAGAACACAAACAAAATATCAAAACACTTGCTCAACCATGTTCATTGCTGCTCTCATCATAAGAGCCAAAAACTGGAAACAACCTAGATTTCCCTCAACAGAAAAGTGGATAAAGAAAGCCGGGTACATTCATACAATAGAACATTACTCAGGTATTAAAAAGATGACATCATGAAATTTGCAGCAGAATGGAGCCAGAAAAAAATCCCGAGTGAGGTAACCCAAACTCAGAAAGGTATATATATGATATACATTCGCTTGTACGGGATATTATTATTTAAATAAATGACAACAACACATCAGTTTGAATATTTGGTCTCCAGGTGATGCTACTGTATAGGAAGGATTAAGAGGTTTGCACATTTGGGGGAAGTGTGTCCCTGAGCATGGGTCTTGAGGTTTATAAAAACTTGTGCCATTCCCAGGGTTTCTCTGTTTCTGCCTTCTGTTTGTGGGTAAAATTGTGAATGGTTCTCAGCTGTTCCTACTGCCACGCCTTTACACAGACATCATGGGCTGTGACCCTCTGAACAGGTAAGTTCAATTAAATATGATTTGTATAATTTGCTTTGTCTGTGGTGTTTTATATCATGGCAGTATAAGAGTAACTAAGACACCCAGGTCCTTTTTTCCAGAGAAATGATGCTGGCAACATGAGGGCGACTTGTCCACTAATGATCTCTAGGCTTAAGCCACTCCTCCTTGATCAGGAACACCCTGAGCAGGGGAAGAAACTGCTAGATGCAAGGGACCAGCCTGCCAAACCTTCACTTGAGTGAGATTAGAAAGGCCCAGCCTCACGGAGCTGGTAGGCCAGTTTCAAATACTGCTAATGCATTATCAAAATCAGGGTTGTTTTTAAGTCACTGTTGGTGATCTTTGAGTTCTGATGTAAAAACACTTGCTAATGTAAAGAAGGGCAGGGGAAGTAGAAAGAGGTCAGAGAGCTAGCAGGGTTGACACTGAAGAAGGAGAAGGGCTGTAAGGTGACAGGAAAGAGACAAGGAAAGTCCTGTCTGTGGAGGGTCCAGAAGCCTCTCTACATTTCAGTTTGTATTAAGGGTTAAGGAGCACTGAGTCCCGCACCTACAGAAGAGCTCTGTCAGTGGCTATTGTTAAGGATTGAGGAGCCCTGGGACTTGGACTGCCCTGAAGCTGTGGTGCAAGTTGGAGCTAGGAGCTCCAATCTGCACCCTGTGGGGCCACAGGATCTGTAAGACTGGCAGGGCTGGGGGGCCCTGTTTCTATACCAGCCCGCATACGGTCATGACTGGCAGTTGTCAAGTTCAATGTGACAAATCCAGGACTTGAAGATCTCCCCATGTACACACCTTGATTTTTGTGTGGGTGAATCAAATGATATCCAGCCAGCCTATTGGCAGCTCTGCCACTGTTTGAAAAAAACCTCCATAGATTGGGAAAATCGACCATGACAAAATCAGTGTGCAAACTCTGAACACAAACACAGCAGAGGATTTCCTTACATGTGATATAAGCTTAAGTATTAAATGGTTTACTGTAGCAGAAATCTTAAATGGTCTTATTAATAAAAACAAGCCTGAGGCCAGTTATTGGGGTGAATAATGAAAGATCCGAGAAGCAGAACAAGCCAGAGCTACCTCACCTCGCCAGTTCCTCAGCTGATTGTGTTTCCTCAGACTGGAAGCCTCTGAGTCTCAGCTGAACTGTGCTGCTCAAAGGCCTGAGGCTTAACCAGCCAAATGCTTCTAGTTTCTGGTCCTCACGCCTTATATACCTTTCTGCCTTCTACCACCACTCCCTGGGATTAAAGGCTCACTTTCTGGGAATAAAGGTGTGTGTCACCATGCCTGGCTGTTTCCAATGTGGCCTTGAACTCACAGAGATCCAGATGGATTTCTATCTCTGGAATGCTAGGATTAAAGGCGTGTGTTACCACTGCCTAACATCTATATTTAATATTGTGGCTGTTCTCCTCTCTGTCCTCAGATAAGTTTATTAGCATGCACAATATTTTGGGGAACACAATACCACCACATTTCCCCTTTTTTGTATAAAATTTAAAAAGCTTATAACTAATTCAAGAAAAATTATATCAAATAAGTATATACAATATATACAGTCAAGAATTACATTAACAATGTCTAGTCCATTAACATTTCACAGATTCAGACAAAGAACTCCATTAATATATAACAATGTC